GCCTCAAGTGATCTGCCCGCCTCAGCCTCCCAAAGTGCTGGTATTAAAGGTGTGAGCCACCGTGCCTGGCCTCCATCCGGCCTTTCCCAGCCTTGATTTCCTCTTCCCATCCCGGCTTACCCTCCAGGGGGTCCTTGGCCAGGCCCAGCTGCCCAATGATGTACTGTGGAAGGTCAGTCTTAATGCCTTGGCCCTCCCGCGCATGGCCCTCAGCCGCCTCCAGCAGGTGGTAAAACTCCTCAGGGTCAAACTCCTAGGGGCACAGGAGGGCTGGTCACCCGGGGCTTGGTTCCACCTGCAGGCCTCTGCACATGCTGTTCCCTCTGCCTGGAGCACCCTTCCCAGCTCACCCCCTGGGTCTCCGCTCCCAATCCCTCCTCAGGGAAGTCCATGCTAGCCCGGCAGCACCCTGCGTTCCTCTCAAAGCCCTACACGATGGCAACTGTCACTTGTATCTCGGCAGGACTGTCGTGGTCCCAATCTCAGTTTTGCCCGGATCCCAAGTTGGCTGTACAAAAATAAACTTACCAGACACTCCAGCAGCCGAGCTGGCCGCGAGATGATGATTAGCAGTTTCCGGACAAGCTGGACGATGAAGCTGACCTCCTCACTGTCCGAGCGCTCATGGGCCTGGGGGAGGTGGGTCGTGGCATCACCCAGAGGTCCTCAGCACCATCTGGCCCGGGGACCCCCTTCGCTCCACGTCCCACTGCATGCAAAACCTCAACATGCGAAAAACCACGCACATCCTGCAGAAGCCGCTCCAGCTTCTCCTGCATCTCTAGGAAGTAGCGGGAGGTGACGAGGTTCTCGCCAGACTTGGCCAGGCAGTCTCGGGCCAGCTCGACGATCTGGTGGTGGATGAAGCCCAAGACGCCATCAGCCAGCGCCAGCCGGGCGCCAGGCGCGTAGGCCGTCAGGAACTCCTGCAGACGGCCCTCCATCTGTGCTGTGGCCTGGGTGGGGTGAGACGGGGCGACCTGGTCAAGGGTGGGGCTGGAGTGACACGCACAGAAGGGGGCAGGAGAGGCACGGTTGGGGAAAGAGGAGATGAGGAGATGAGGCGATGGGGGCGATGGGCTGGGAGGGCTGGGGCAGGAGGAACAACATGTTTCAGTGGAAGGGGAGGGAAAGACAGAAATGAACAGACTGGCAAGGGGGACACAGCCAGGAAGACAGAGTTCCATGGAGGGACAGCAATGTGGAGAGAAGCGCAGGGGCTGGTCCAGCCGCCAGGCGCTGCCCACCTTGGGGAACCTCTCCCGGTACACATGGTTCATCATGACAATCTCATTGTCGAAGGTCCCCGTTGCGCGGCCCGGGCTGAAAGGAAGACAGCTGGCTTGTGATATGGGACCTCAGACCAACCCTAGGGGAGGATGTCGGGGCTCTGAGCCAGGGTTGAGGGACAAGAATCAGAGGCTAGGGTGGAGGAGGAGCCACAACTTGGGCCTCCACACCAGCCCAGGGAGGGGCCGGGGTTAGGGCCAGAGGTCGAGGCCCACCTGAGACTGCGAGAGCGGGGGCGGAGGCGGGGTGACCGGCCGCCTTCCTCATCAAGCACATTCTCTGAGCTGCGGAAGTGCTTGGACAGGAAGTGCAGCTCGTCTGGCGTCGGCTGGAAGGGAAGCTGGTGGAGACGTTCCCGGGAGGATGAGCTTGACTGGTAGAGAGTGGTGGGGATTAGAGTCATGAGTTCACCGTCAGTGGTGTGGCCAGGACCCCAGCACCACCCCTCAAGGGCCAGGCTGTCTGCTGGTCATCAGATGGCCATCAGATGGTAACATTCTTTCTCCTGTCTAGTTCCTATGCATCCCTCAAAACCCTAGCTCTGATGCCCCCTCCTCCAGGAAGTCCTCCCTGTCTGTACCCCTGGGCAGCCCCAAGTCCCCCTCTGGCCAGGCCCTGATCCCATAGGCTGGGGATATCTGTATCTCCCCGACTGGGGTCTATTTTGGGGCCAAGGCTGGGTCTTCTCAGGGGACCCCGCATTTTCCAGAATGGGGCATGCATGGAGGAAGTAGCTAGTATGGTTGCTGACCGCACAACTACCCAACACCTTGAAGAAAACACACAAAGATGTGTCCCCCCCCAACCCGGCATCTGCCTGTCCGTCTGCCAAGGTGGGGCTATGGGTACCGAGAGGGTGGAGCTGGGTGTGTTGGTTCCATAGCCGGAAGATGGGAGAGACGCGAGGGACCATCTTCTGCCGTCTGCCCTGGAGAGGGGAACAAGAACAGATGGAAGGAAAGCCTGGCCCCTGTGGTTTGTGGGGACTAAGAGCAGACACTGTGGCCAGCATATTCTGGCCCTGTCATAGGAAGGATCTCCTGAAAATAACCAAGAACAGAGACACAGGCTGGCCAAATCCACTGCACGCTCTCTCTCTCTCCAAGTACCTACCTCTTCTAGAAAGCCCCCCGTGACTCCAGCTGCCACTGTGTCCCCTGTCAAAGCTTCAACCTCTGAGCTGTAGCTTCTGGGGCACACATTGGCCACCCCCCACCAAACGGAGGACTCCCCAGGGGCTCAGGGCCAGTCGCCCATTTGCAACCATGCCCTCAGCCCGCAGCGCAGAGCATACACACAGCAGGTGCTTAATGAACGTTGTTGTATGAATAAATAAATGAAATGCAAGCGTCTGGCACATGACAGGCACTCAATCAGCTCTTGTTAAGTGAATGAATGAATGAATGATTTCTTTAGTGAGTTAATGATTCTTAGGGCTATATCCCCCCACGACCACCCACCCCCTGGGCTGGTTGAAATTACCTGTCTGTGCGTGGGATGTGGCTGCAAGATGGCATGCATTTGTCAGGGATGGGAGCCAGAGGGGGAGACCACCACCAGATGGGCCAGGGGAGGGGAAAAGGTGAATGAAATGAATGAGGGGCCAGGTCTAGCCCCCGAGCACGTGCCCCTGCCCAACCCCTGCCCGTGGTGCCCGCACTGTCTCCCAAAGCTGGTAATCACTCACCTCCGGGCAAAGGGGAAATTGAGGGCAGAGACAGCCGAGAAATTCCGAGGACTATCCAAGGGGCTGCTGCCTGCTGAGGAGGAGGTGGGAAAACTGAGTCAGCGGGGCAGAGGCAGGACACAGCACCCGCTGGCTGCTCCCACACTCACCCGTTGGGACTGACAGTGGCGACAGGGGGCGGGAGAGGGTCGGGGAGGGCGTTCCTACCACCAAGCTCTTGCGGTTCCCGCTGCGGCAGCTGTGGGGGGAAAAGGGGACAGGGTAGGTGGCTGCCCAGGGCCCTGCACTAAGCCACCTGCCCAGCCTAAATCACACAGGCAGCCCGTTCTGGAGAAGGATGGGATGTTGGACATGGCCACTCCCACTCTGCCCCCAGGTGGGTTCCCCCATGGCCCTTAGCCAGGTCTTTAAGGCCCAGGAGGGAGTCACCCCTTGACTAACATTCCTTATTATTGAAACTACTGCTGACCAGGCATGGTGGCTCATGCCTATAACCCCAGTGCTTCGGGAGGCCAAGGTGGGAGGATCCTCTGAAGCTAGGAGTTCAAGACCAGCCTGGGCAATATAGTGAGACCCCGTCTCTATACAAAATTTAAAAATTAGCTGGCTGTGGTGATGCACGCCTGTAGTCCCAGCTACTCAGGAGGCTGAGGCAAAAGGATTGCTTGAGCCTTAGGAGGTCAAGGCTGCAGTAAAGCCATGATCGTGCCACGGCACTCCAGCCTAGGTGACAGAACAAGGCCCTCTCTCTTAAAAAAACAAAAACAAGGCTGGGCACAGTGGCTTATCCCTGTAATCCCAGTACTTTGGGAGGCCAAGGTGGGTGGATCACCTGAGATCAGGAGTTCGAGACCAGCCTGACCAACACGGAGGAACCCTGTCTCTACTAAAAATACAAAATTAGCTGGGCATGGTGATGCATGCCTGTAATCCCAGCTACTTGGGAGGCTGAGGCAGGAGAATCGCTTGAACCCGAGAGGTGGAGGTTGTGGTGAGCCCAGATTGCACCATCGCACTCCAGCCTGGGCAACAAGAGTGAAACTTCGTCTCAAAAAAACGAAACAAAACAAAACAAAACACCCAAAAATTAGACAGGCGTGGTAGTGCACACTTGTAATCCCCGCTACTGAGGAGGTTGGGGCAGAGAATCGCTTGAACCCAGGAGGTGGAGGTTGCGGTGAGTTGAGATAGCGCCATTGCACTCCAGCCTGGGCGACACGAGTGAAACTTCGTCTCAAAAACAGTAACAAAAACAAACACAAACTATTGGCAATGTTGTTATTAACAGCAATGGCATGAAGTGCTTCTAGCCTGATGGTGGACACTACATATGGCCAGGAGCCCCCGGCCCAGCTTTTCACGGTTCTGTGTTACAGTCCCACCCCCACACCTTTCCCTGTACCATGGCTACTGCCAGCAGCACCAGCAAATCACGTGGACCAACCACACCCTGGAGCCCAGATATGGGCTGAGACACCCCATTCTATACACCCCTCCTGAAGCCCCTGCTCCCATCTCTTGACAACCCTCCTTCTTCCCAAGATGCCCCTAAAATGCCAATGGGACCCAACTAGAAACCCTAAATGCAATCTCCTTCACAGTCCTGCCTGTTCTGCTGAACTTTTGCCCACATGTTGTCCTCTTTCCATCCCAGGTCCCTTCTGGCCACCAGATACCTGGCCCAGGTCTCTGACACCCTGCCTGGCCTCTTCTCCCACCTGAGCCCTGGCCTCAGCCCACACCTTGACAGAAGGAAGTTGGGAGTGACACCATCTCCCGCCCCACCAGAGCAGTCGCCCGGCAACAGCTCTGCTCCACCAGAGCATCAGCCCACACACCCCAAGCCGCCAACACAGCTCAGCGGTGGGAGAACCTCGCGGGGAGGGAGAGATGAAGTCTCGGGGCCTCTGAGGTGCAGAAATGGGGTCCCAGGCAGAATGCTCAGAGCAGGTCAATGCATGGGAGAACATGCATACGATCATCAAAGGACACTGGTGACAAGGTGGACAGGGAGAAGAGGCCCAGCCTGTCTATGTCTCCACATATGGCTGTCCCTTGAGCCTCAGTTTCCCCATCTCTACCTTGAAGGATGAAACCTACTACATCCAGTGCTCAGCTCTGGGCCAGACTCGGGTACATACACTGTTGTCTGTGCCTACACAAGGCTCACAGGGCCTGGCTCACGCTGGGAGGGCAGGCAATGCTTCCTGAGTGAATTACATCCCCAACATGTGCCAAGCCCAACAAGCCCCAGAGTTGGGAGCGACCAGCCGAGCCCATTTCCCAGACCGGGAAACTGAAGCCACAGATGTCAAGAGTCACAGTGATTGTCTCCCAGCCTGAGCTGCAGAAGCAAAAGTGAAACCTGCAGGTTTCTGCAAAACTTCCTGCCAACCCCTCAATGCATGCTCACCTGGCTGTCTCCGCATCCTCTCCCAGCCCCTCACCTGGTTCCTCGCCCCCACACTGCACCACCAGCACCCTCCCTCCCCGATCCTGCTGTATCACTTGCTGCTTCCAAAAGCATCTGGGAAAAACACTGAGTTGCCCTCCCTCCTGTTCTTGGGCGAGGTCTTCTTGAAAACACGGCCAAGTGTGAGGCCTCAAAGGAGAACCAAGCATCATCTGTTCACTTCCCAAGCATCTATGCAGGGCTGACTCTTTGTTCAACTCTTCCTGGAGGAGATCCAGGACCTCGAGAAATTGCCATTTGGGAACCATCCTCTCCTGGTACCCAGGACACAACAGACAGAATGTGGCAGAAAGCAGGGGCCTGAAGCCAGCCTCCTGCACCTCATCCCTCTGGTACCCATATCCCCCCTCCAGTGCTCCCCACGATCTTGGAGGGAAGTTTAAGCCCTGGACTCAGCATTCAAGGTCTTTTGGTAGCTGGTCCCACCACCCAGACTTTGCCCCAGTCCAGCACCAATGAAAAACCCAAGCACAGAGAGGTTAGAGCTACTTGAGGTCACACAGCCTGGTAGTGGCTGAGTCGAAATTTGAACCCAGGTCCGGTAGAATCCACAGCCCTCATTTATCCTCTCTGCTTTTCAAAAGAGGAAACTGAGACTCCAAGAGAGATAAGGCTTTGGAGGGGGTTAACCTCAATTATGTGGACTCCTGACACCCCACCCAAATGCCAGCCTCGTGCAGTAAATATTTGCTTCTGAGCCAACATTTCTGCTGGATGGGCCCCCAGGGACAGATCAGCCTCAGTTTTTCCAAGAAGTTTCTCCCTGGTTCTGCACAGCCCTGGACACCCGGGTTCAAATCCTAGCTCAGTCTCAACTCACTCCTGTCTGTCACCACCCCAGCTGCGACGCTGGCGGACAGACACCCCAGTACAGGGAACGAGGGGCGAAAGGAGGGTGCCAGGGACCCCAGGGGACCCCTCGATCCACAGGCGTCCTCCCCCCTTCCCACTGCTGCCACAGACAGACACTCGCCGTGGTCCCCGCCACGCGGCCAGGACACACTTCTGGCAACTCCTGTTTGCTCGGCCGGCCGCCGAGCCTTCGCCGGCGCCGTGCCCCCTACCTCTTG